CACAGAGAGAGAGAGAGAGAGAGAGAGAGAGAGAGAGAGAGAGAGAGAGAGAGAGAGAGAGAGAGAGAGAGAGAGAGAGAGAGAGAGAGAGCCCCTTTACGGCAATTCAAGGGCCCCTGCAGGTAACTCGAATGGCTCGTACAGTGTATGTGGACATTGTGGAGTTGTTGAGGACCAACGCTTCAACCAGCAGGGTGGCCGTGTCAAATGTGGAAGAGGTGGGAGCAGACCACCAATATCTGCTGTGGGTTTGAATTCAGGTCTGTAGCTCGGGAGTTATGGGTCACCAATTCAGCTAGACAATGTTCGTGTCTCCACGCGATTCTCAGGGCCTTGCTCCACCACTCACCAAATGTATAACAGTAGAATGAATCTTCTGCTAAAACATGGAGCCATACACCGCCATATGGTATGTCTTTTGTGCATGAGGTGAGTAGTGGAGAGAGGCCCCTTGGGCCATTGTACGTCTTTCATAAGAAAAACAAAAAGAAAAAAATGTGAGAGCTACAGGCATCTTCATCCTAACCAATAACTGCCGACATGCAGACCTGAATGGCAACCTTCAGCATATATTGGTGGTAAGCTGGCCTTGACAAACATATGTCGCGACTTCTGCGAAGCACTGTGGGACAGGTCGCTATTGGGCAATTACACCCTTCTGAGCCTTCTCGCAAATTTTTTCCACCACTGTGTGGGATTTGCAGAAGGGAGGGGGAAGGCCAGTTTCCACACCCTGCCTATACAAAAAAACTGGAATGAGCCCTATTTTCATGATCCACCATTTTGAAATTTTTGCGGGAGGGGCCTGCGGAATTCGAAATTCGGCAGCCCTTGCCCAAAAACAGTTTTTGGGCCTGGGGCGCGGTCGGTTTGCGAACTCGCGCTGCTAGCTGAACATTTTTGCCCGGGGGGGGGGGGAGGCGCTAAGAAATTATGAAACCCCTACTTTTGTTTTCCTGGCGTGGTGTGCAGTGCGGTGCGCACGGTGCGAGAATCCACGCACCCTGCGCCGCAACTATGATTTTAATGTATGTGTCTGTCACACTATCAATAAATAACAGTACGTCCTGTTTATTTACATCTTGAAAATATTATGCCATAGTCAAAACAGTAAGTCCAACTCTCATTAGAGCACCAGGCGGCTTATTCATTTGTCCATAAACTAGAAGCTGTTTTGAATTCAGAAAAGTTATCTTCGTTGGCTCCAAGTTTGAACCTGGGTTGTCGTTCGTGTAGATCCTCCAAAACTTGGAGCTGCATTTGCTTTGATTGCTCCAAATCTCAGTCCAAACTAGAAATGTTTTGCCTCAAGAGTCGAGAGCTCATTTGAGTGGAAAGAGGACTCTGTTTGTTTGGCTCCTGAACCAGTGTTTGTCAGGTTCATGACGAGGCACGATTGCGCTTGGGGAAAATGTCATTGCTACCATGGTCTTCTTCATGTCCTCCGATTTATACATGAAAAAACAGGATCAACACTGGAGTCCAAGTTCGTTTTGTGGATGGATCAAGGGAACCCAAAGCATGTCGTCGGTGGGCATTCCTCATGCAATTTAGTTATGTGACTTATGTCTTCACGGTCTTTCCAATGTAAAAGCATTGCAGTGGGCTGATGAACTCGATTCAGGTAATGATTGTCTTGTTAATAGTCTATCTTATAACAAGGGAAACCATTCACAGTTTGAATGGTTTCCCACAGTTTCCCTTGTCCATAAGCATAGACTTTTAACAAGGCAATTTCTTCAGCGGGGAAATGTCATGCAATTCTTGGTTATCTTCCCGTGCTAAGAGGATTGCAAAAGGGTTCATCACTTGACATACTTTTTATTCGTCTATGCTTATGCACGGAGAACTTAGTAGAAAGATGCACTTTAAGGCAATTTTGAGTTCGTTTTTACTACCTTTGAGTGTTTTGCCTGTAAAGTGTGTCTGTGGTGCGACCTTTGTGGTGCTCTTTTCGGTGTTGTTGCAAATCCGTGTCCTGCCTAACGTTTCATCCTTGCAGGGCGTTCAATGTTGGTGAAGTTAAGCCTGAGGAGGCCGTGCAAGCAACCTTGTCATCGCTTCCAGATGAAGTTGTTGAGCTTGTAGGAATGACAGCATGCCCAAGCGAATCTGCGTTAAAGGAGAAGGAGAGAAAACTTGAGATTTTGAAAGAACAAGACGAGCTTATCAAGGTGTGTTTTTGCCTTGAAAGAAGGCGGCTGTTCTCTTGTCTTGTCTAGAGCCTGGGATGTCTGCATAGGTGAAATCTGTCCCGGAAATCCATGTGAAGTTGCACAGCACGCCCAGTGAATGGTAATTAGTACTAATTACTAACTTTCTGCCTGTTTGTTGGCTCTGCTGGGATTCCTCTTCGCCAACCCTCTCCTGTTCTCATCGCTAATTCTGCTTTTTGGGAATGCCGCTTTGCTTCTTGCTTCTTGCTTCTTGCTTCTTGCTTCTTGCTTCTCCATTACTACATGTTATTATAAAGTCCCCTTCTAATGGCAAATGTATTTGTTTTTTTGGAGCAGGAGGAGGCAAAGATGGAGGAGAGAAGGGAAAAGGAAGCCAAGGAGCTGGAGAGGGACAGGGCTCTTGAGGAGATGGTGGAATCTACTGCAGCAGATGCACAGAAGGAGGCAACTGCAGAACTTATGGACCAGAAGGAGCAGCTGTGCAAGTTGAGCAGTGCCCTTGCTGTTCTTGCTTCAGCATCTGTAAGTCCTTAACTCAGTCTTGGCTACCCAGGCTGGTCCAATTGTTTCACATATCTGGTATTCTCATTGTGGCTTTTTCCCTGCAAGTCTCATTTGCTCTTTCATACGTCTTGTGTTTGACTGTTCGGTCACAGGGCTCGAGAGGCAAATACTCGCTGTACTATATGTATTGGGTCGTAGAACCCCTAATAACCCCACAAACACCCCCATACCCACCCCAAATACCCCCATACCCACCCGAAACACCCACAAACCG